ACAGCGTTACGAGCCTGTAAAAGCTCATATTAGGCATACCAGTATTTACATAACGGACATTTCTCCTACTATCTAGCTTACAAGGGTTACATTACTGATGACAGGCCGCCGAATTCATAAGATTGTTAACTGGCTTTAAGTTGATAAGAGCCGCTTGTTAATATCAAGCTGCTATCAAGCTGCTCTCATATACCTCGAAGGGTTCCATAACTTTCAAGTTAAGATCCATTTAAACGTACCTCCTATATGCAACCCCTTAAACTCGATGCCCAAATTGTTCCTATTCCTACTTACCAGATTTAGGCTTATGTCCAGTTGCTCGTCACAATGGCATATGCTAGGTAAAGGTGCACTTCCTGCGGGTTCGCAGAGGCCCCGAACCGCGGTTGAGAGCTTCCCATCCCCTCCTTCATTACGATCCCGAGCCAGTGCACTGGGCCACTGAACCGCTGGCACTGGATAAATATGACGTCGTCAATCCTATGACAAGATTACTCGAGTACAAGGATTCGGTGTCCCACGATGCCATCATTATCACTGTTCCTCACACTCACATAGAAACAGGGGGAGCTGCCGCATCCACACCACTACGGTCCAGTCGATATCTCATCACCCTTATGTGCGACACACCCGCCCCTCAGGTACACCCGGAGCTACGGTCGTGACATTTGATACGACGGACGGGTAGTTCCCTTACTTCATCCGCCCAAGTACTTCAGTTTCGATATGCTATATCTAACGGGAACGAACCTCGGGTTAGAAACAGGCCCCTCGGTATACGTAATCATAATCATAAGAGTTATAATTGGTTCGAAGCATATGTCGCATCCCCCGCAAGGTCGTAAATCCGAACCTGCACGTATGGTGTGACGGTATTGCCGGGTTGTAGCAAGCGATAGGAACTCTCTACCTAGGTTAGGTATGCTGTTGCTTTTCCTCATTCAGAGTCACGCCGGTGGCGCTTTTAGGGCCAATCCTCCCATTTGATAATATACGTTAGACCTAATCGCCAAAGTCTGTCTTGTCTACCGCTGACCGTCCAGTCGGGTAGATGCGCACTTCTCCGGATCTCGAAGAACTTGGTGGTCAGCCCGACGCATTTTCCTGGAGCGGGAATCCTCCCGAGCTCGAGTGTGCCACCCAAAGAAACCTCGCAATGTGTATAAGTATATTTCTATGTCTACCATTTCGGCCCTTAATTTTTGCGAGTCAAAAGAAAGACCGAGCACAAGATCCATCTCGTTCATTCATGATAAGAACACCACGTGTATGCCAGGGATAACAGTGGCTCCTCCCGACTGATCCTTTGGTACAATTCATAACGTGTACATAACATACATTAGGTACGCGCATGGAATACTGGCTGATCCTTCAGCCAAGTCCCGGAGATGGTTTCCCAGGCCCATGGATTGACTCGAGGATCAATGCAATTCGTACATGAACCTGGGAAAGGTAAAATCTGTGCGGTGCTGTAGGTGCCGTCCCAGTGGGAACGTCGCTGACGTTAGATATCTGTTATGTTATTAGGAAAGGGGGTTAGGACTATGTATGTAGCTCTCGTCCCACGGCTACGGGTTAATGACATTCCCTTCCAGAGCACATGTTCATCTGAATAGTTTTCGGGATAACTTATGAGGTTTATTCGTACTTACAAGCCAGCTCTAGAACTTCTTAGGGCCTTAGCTTTACCTGATTTAGCCTGTACCGAGGGTAAAGAACAAAGACTCTCTATCCTTCGCGGCTCATAGGCCAGACCAGACCGAAGAGCTAATGCAAGGGACGATGTCATCGTATAGTGTAAATGCGTGGGATAATTCTGTACCGGGGTTTGCGTTTGTGTGGCAGCTCCCAATTCGCCTCTATCAGCGCCTAGTTAGCTCCTCTGACTTATGGTCTCTTTTATTTATTTGGAGCTCAAGGTAGCATCTATCACCAATTCCTCACCTGAACAGTAGTGAATGATACTGTTGGCGGTTTAAATCATGAACCGAGGCAGTTAGGTAGCCACTCTGCTAGGTTCGTATGGCAACGATCCTATTGGAGTTCTAGTACCTAGATACTGCTCGTACCTGCACATAATACGCAGTAAATTTTCTTCTTTTTCTTTGGGAAATATTTCCCATTTATTTTCCTTTTTCTATTGGTTTACCCCAGCCCCGTCACGGCCGGTGTGGGATGGACGGGCGGGAATGCGACGGAACCCCCCCTCCCAGACGCATGGTTCAGCTGCAAGGTACGAAAGCCAAATCACATCAAGCTGACGAGAGACGGCGCGAAGTTTTACCCTATTTAGAAGGGAGCGAAAAAGTTTTTCATTCTTCTCGGAGCATAGGGTTGAGAGAAGTCTAGAAGCGCGCTGCCTTCTTCTGTTGAGATGTCTGCTGCGTATCGCCGACCAAAGTTAGACTTTAGTTGCGTAGCCGTCTAGTGGCGAAAGGCTTCCCGGCCTGTTTATCTCAAGAGTCTTATATTGTCTACAGCGGCTTGCTGCCGGATCGAGAATTAATAAAAGAAAATTCCGCAGCCTACCCCGGGTCGTGTCGGCTACCGGGCGATCAAACGTTTAGTAGTAGGAACTGGCGACGCCATTCGTTAATTCAATCGCGTGGGGGAACACGATCGTACCTATCTTTATCAAAGCTCTTCTTCGGTGGCTGAAGAATGGGTAGGCCAGATAGCTATTCGGCGAATGCCAAGCTCGTCGGCAACGCCCAAGGCGCCTTTTATTGCTCGTAAAGCTGCCGGACGATATGAATATCACGAGATTCGTAAGAGTCGAGAACTATCGACGAGTTATTATTAAGCAACGAGTATATGAACTAGGGTCTTGGAAATGTAAGGTTCCGAATGTACATACGCTCTCTCAATGTGACAACGCATTCAACAGTCTTCTTTCTGTCTATCTTAACGGGAATGCCCAACGAGGCTTTTTTTGTCCTTGGTCGAAGCCCGGGTGGATGGTCAATAAGCAACTAGTCGCAAAGTAGCAAACGCTTTCTAATTGAGGCGGTGAATGCGACCCCCTTTGACAGCTCTTACGTGTCGATCAAGATGTGGCACCGCAGTAATTAATCAATATATGCAGGTACGGACGACGAAGTCCTAGATATCGGAGGGTAATTTTCCGGGGACTGCATCTATCGGCGTCGTTGCATTCTTTCTTCTCTGTTCTCCCCATAACTGTTCTCGGTTCGGTAACCCGTCAGCGGTTGAGGTACTATATCTTGATTCGTTGGGACTTGAGGGGTACGGATCTTCTCGGCGCCCAAGATAATCATAGAGGATTACCAGTACGTAGATGGTCAGATATTGCGGCAGCTAAATCGACACAGCGCAACACGGTTTAGGGTTTTGCATACCCTCGCTGTTGGGGCATCTGTTCCTTCTTGAAAGGATGCGAGGGCTTTACGTCGTGTATCTATGTTTAATGCTAGTATCAGCGTAAAATATCATGACATTCCTTGGTAACAAACGGTATAGAAATTCTCAAGGCTCACAGCTAGGATAGGAGCCTACAGGTATTATTTAAAATGAGGCCATATGAGAGGTGAAAGCACGCTTTTATGGTCTAGCTACCTAGGTAGATTTATAGAAGGATCAAGGGAAGATATCATACTCAGTAGAGGTAAAACAAGTCATATAGGTAAGTTTAATAGACGGTCGTAAGAGGAAAACTATACTTTGTCAGAAAGACCGACTAAAGCCCATTTTTCTGCCCTCAACGCTTAAGAATCGAGCACCTGTATATTTGTCTAAGCATCTCGTCTAGTCGAGTTAAGATATATGTGACAACATATTAAACATAAAGCTACCGGATCTTATACTTAATACCCACATGTGCGAAGTAGGCTACAATGCATATGACTGAGAGGAGACTAATAAAAGTAAACTACATTTATGATAGCAATATTTGAGTTAGTTGACTATAGCAAACTGCCAACCTGTGCAGCTTAGCTATTGGGTACCTGTTAAGTATGTGTTGGTACTGAATTATAGGCGACTTCTACTCTTATGTTCAATAGGCTATTCGCATTTTAATTGTAGTAAAGTTCTACTCTTTGAAATTCGTGAAGTCATTCTGTTACTCTAACCTTTCCTCTCGTATATTCGTCGTTATAGGCTAAGCACTACCTCAGTGATCTCTCTTGGGGCTGGGAATGTAGACCACTCATTACTTATATCTTAAGGAGCTCTACGTGTAAGCTTTCATTCTGAAATTGTTCTTAACACTTGTTTGCTGTAGGGAAGGACACGGTATTATTCTAAATCTAAATAGGATTAAAGCATTTATTATGAGGCCACGTTTGGCGATGCTAATTAGGCCCTTATTAATGAGGCTCTTTGAAATCTATTACATTCAAAGGCCATTTGCGAGTTTGTGAATATCGTATTTAATTTTTACTTTAAAAATATGAGAGTATCGGTCCTGAATCGTTCTTCTACTCGATGCTACCCCTGACTAGAGTGTGGTAAGTCTTTACTACTCAAGCGCTATAACATCATCACAATATCTCTTTGGTCTCAGGCCCTAGTTATCAAAACATTTGGTTAGTTGATTAATCTACTCATGAATACTAAATCCCTCAACAGTAATATGTTTCTCAATAAACCACGATGCCCCAGTTCACGTTTCGCACCAACACAAGTTGAACTTGAGAGCTAGAGATAGGTGACTACTAAGTTATCGGGCTGGCAAATTTTTAAACGTAGAATGATCGAGTTCTAGCAATAAATTAGTATCGCATGTGTAGAATCGCGATGGTTTGTATCATTTAGCTGTATACCTCACCTTATATGATGCTACAGCAGCTGTAGATCATGACTCCTGAATTACTAGAAATTAAAAACATAGATGACGGAATACTGTTTTATTACGTGCAATGTGGTTTTGTTATCTGACGACATGAACTACCGTGTCTCATCATATACATTTCAAGTCTACTTGGAAAGAGATCCTTTTCCGATAACCCTCAACGCCACGCCTACGTACGAAATGAACGTTACCGAGTTGCATCAATGGCCTCTTCTAGAATATTTAACCCGCTCTCGATTTCATCCTGGCTGACCGTGAGAGGCGGGACGAATCGGAGCGTGTTTGTCCCACAAGTGATCACCAGCAGTCCCCTCTCTCGGGCGGCCTTTACTATTGGCGACGGATCTTGGGTCAACTGCACGCCAAGGATTAAGCCCTTGCCACGAATCTCAGTTATAAGGCTGGGGTATCGTTCTCGCATGCGCTCAAACCGCTCTACGAAGACCTTGGACTTGGAAAGGACATCCTGCTGCAACTTGGGATCCGAGAGTTGTGAGACTACATAGTGCGCGAGGCGACACGCCATCGGATTGCCGCCAAAGGTCGTGCCGTGATCACCAATCTTGATCTTCTCGCTAACGTGATGATTGACTATAGTAGCACCAATAGGGAAGCCGTTGCCAAGTGCTTTCGCCGTAGTGAGTATGTCTGGATGTGCCTCCTTGGGTAGGTGACTGTGGGCCCAGAGCGTGCCGGTCCTCGACAGACCGCATTGGATCTCATCATAGACGAGAACGGCACCTACTTCGCGGCACCGCTTCGCTAGGGCGACGAGGAATTGGTCGCTGGCAACATTGACGCCCCCTTCGCCTTGGATGGGCTCGATTATCACGCCGCACGTCCTATCCGTCACGAGGTCGTTGATGGCGTCGATGTCGTTATACGTTCCATACCTGAAACCCGGCAGCATCGGCGCAAACGGTTCTTGGTATTTGGGGTTCGGTGTCGCGGAGAGACTCCCCATAGTTCGTCCGTGGAATGATTTATAGAAGGAGACGAATTCGTGTTTGGCACCAGTAGAGTCCAACACCTTGCCAACTTTTCGGGAAAATTTAATTGCGGCTTCGTTCGCCTCGGAACCCGAATTGCAGACGAAGACGGTCGCGGCGTCATGCATGGCACCTGATGCGACGGTTTTCTCTACTAGAAGTTGGGAAAGCGCTCCGGTCCAGGGGTTATAATAAAGGTTGGATGCGTGCCATAGTGTTTGCGCCTGGTCCAAGAGAGTCGATCAGCATAGGAATAATACAGGAATAATACAGGAATAATACAGGAATAATATAGGAAGACGAGAAATGAACTGGCGAATGGGAATGGGCTCGTACCTGATCCGAGATGACCTTCGCTAGGCCGGGGTCGCTATGACCGAGCGCATTAACAGCAATACCAGCGGTGAAATCTAGATATTTACGGTTTTCTAAATCCCACAAGTACGAACCCTCTCCTCTCACGAATACTGGAGGCGGCCTGGCATAAGTTGCTAGCATAAACTTGGAATGGTCCTTCACTAGGGCTGCGCTGGCCGAGTCGTCAGACGGATCGGGGTTTGGCAAAGTTGCCTCGCGGGATATAGACTCTTGGACATTTTGCGAGAGATTAGACGCTGCTGTCGCCTGAGATGACAGGCGTCGAACTGTAACGGATGTGAAATGTCGAGTAGGAATTCGAAAGGCCATTTTGAACGTCCCGAGGCCGGTGTAATACTGGTCGATATTCGTCGAGAGAAATTAGCGACGAGGAGACGAAGTCGAAGAAGCTTGTCGACTTGACCGGCCTGGAGTTAGCAAGCAGGAGTAGATATCGAGAGGAGCTTCGATTGGAGCAATTAGGACGCATCCCACCTTCCTCCAGATCGTAGAAAATGATTCTGTATCGCTGTATCGATAAGAAACTAGCCTAAATATCGTTCCGATCTCGCATTGGAGCATTCCAAGGTTGGAGGAAAGACTAGAGTGGCGCCCTTATTATGTAATCCAAGCCAATACCGTACCTAATTGAGCTTTGCTTGAGCCACTCGAACATCTTTTCTCAACTTTCCATTCCCGCTGTTTGAGAACGTGAATGCCAAACGAGACTACATATCTCTCCATGACTCACGTCGAGTTCGGGTCGTTTAGTCATGTTTCATGACATGACTTTTATCCTTGAGGATGTCTGAGATGGAAAACAGCGCGCCAATTGCCTAAAAAGGCACCTAATCCAGGAGAGCCCGATAGTCTACGGTATCGCTCGGAAACCAAATAAATATTGCGGTAGTTCGCGGCTTACTATGTAGTACCGTCAATCCGCCTCAGCTTGTCTCACGTGGTTCAACAAGGCGTCACATGCAATTTCTTTCTGTCGGGTTTCTCCAAATCTCCAACGCGGGGTTCCAACTATGCCCCTTGGTAAGCCCCCGGACTCAGAACTCAGCGGGCTCGACAGGCTCGAATCGGCTGGAGAACTAGGCGACTGTGGGGGTGATCCTGTTCTATTAGTGGCCCCCAAATCGACTTTCACATGCCAGGCTCGCGTGTGTATCCTACACTCTCGCCGCAAACGTCACCAGAAGAGCCGAGAGGTTCCAGGTTTCATCCCAGGCCACCATTCACAAGCTTTCTAATTTCATTACCATCCTGTCAGCTTTGGTCAGGAACCCACAATGCCTCTAACCTAGCGGTCGTTATCGTCTTTAGTCCTCGGACCTTATGTCACGAACCCGTTTCTATTGTCTGCTGTCAGCTTGCCATCCGAACTCTCCGTCTAGCCCGTCTTCTGCTTGTGCCCCCAGTCTAAGTCGGGTTTCCTTGGTAGTAATAAATCGTTGCAAGGGACTATGTTGTATTTCACATGCCGTGTCACTTCGCGAGAGCACTTGACTAGGAGGTTTCAGTCTGGACTTCCCTTGTTGTTTTCCTTTTCATATGGCCATGTCAATTCTTATCTAAAGTTACCATAGCTCCGTAGACTCTTAATCTTCCTTCCTCCGTCTGATGGATAACTCGGACTACGATTATACAGCATGATCGATCACGTTCTCGGTAAACCTTCCGTGAAGTCGCGCAGGCTTCAGGTACTTGCTGTGCTGACATTTTGGTCCCTGTATCTTTTCAAGTAAGCACTCCACGTCAACATGCGAAATAGCCTCGCTAACAATGGCTTAGAGGCAATCGACATGGACCGCCCGTTGCTCGGTACTTGTCTAAGACCTCCTCGAAATTATTGACAGTATGGCAGACCGTCGTACTAACCATGATGTATTTATACGCGGCTCGGAACTTCAGCACCCTCGTCGGACTTGCTAGCCCTGAGCCCATGGCGAACATGTACGATGCTAAGTATTTTCGCGCAACGTGGGTATTGACTGCGCTCGACGCGGGTTTTTGGACGGCCATGAAAATTAAGAAGAAATGGATACGAGATATAGCTAGCTTAGCATTCTCCCTCTTTTATCTCGTGGCAGCAGAACGTGCGGATGAGAAGGTTAGGAAAGTTCGAGGTGCGTTGACTGTCGATCACCTACGGGTAAGCTGGAATAAGGGCACCACGCCATACCTACGAGCCGTTCAAAACTTGATGCGCCCCCGGTTCACACGGTGGCCGCCGCGAGCGATTCGTATCCCTCGGCCTAGCTCCAGCGACTACAAAGAACCGGTCTCCGGGTGGTTGTACTACGACGGGCCCATATCAGACTTGGAGCACATCAACAAGATGATCTTAGACATCCCCGGAGGAGGCTTTGTGGCTATGGACCCGCGATGCAACGACGACAAGCTCTTCGCATGGGCCGGAAAAACCGGCCTTCCAATACTCAGTCTAGAGTATAAGAAAGCACCGGAGTTCCCGTATCCGTACGCTCTAAACGAGTGCTTCGACGTGTACACGACCATCGCCAGAAGCAAGGGGCGGTGCATAGGGATGTCAGGTATGGAGATTCCGAAGGTAGTGGTGACGGGTGATAGCGCTGGTGGAAACCTCGCGACGGCCATGACTTTGATGATAATCGAGAACAACACAAACCAACGTCAATATCCGATCCAGGCGGAGCTTCCTCTTCCCGCCGGACTTATACTTCTCTATCCTGGTCTAGACATGAACATCGGGAACTGGATGTCTGACGAGCAGATGTCTTTGATTAAGGACCGGCGGGTGCGAGCGACGAACAAGGACTACCTGCGTCGGAAGAATATGCAATACAACGACCTAGTTGGCACTCCTCACCAGTCCGACGACGAAGATGAAGAGCCTTCCGGTCCGATTCCTAGCGAAAGCCCATCTACGTTGGATACCGGCACTGACGATAGCGGACTCCGCAGCCCCCAGCCCGAATACTCCCACGCCAATCGCCAGACCTGGGCGAAATCCGAACAGTCGACCCTGATCTCAAACCGGAACGCCAAGTCGACGTCGCATAGGCCCGAACCGATGAAGACGCGCTTGGCCATGGCGTCCATGATCTCCTACTTCAACGACCGCGTTCTCACCCCCGAGATGATGCGCGCGATGATCATCCTGTACATCGGGCCTCACAACCGGCCCGACTTTTCGCAGGATTACCTCCTATCTCCTATCTTGGCCCCTGATCTCCTATTGCAGAAATTCCCGAAAACCTACTTCCTCACTGGCGAGCGTGATCCTTTAGTTGATGACACAGTCATCTTTGCTGGGCGCTTGCGCCGTGCCAAGCACGCTTTCCATTCGCAGCGCAGCTCTGAGAGAACGAGAGGTCTAGACGATATTACGGACTTCGATGAAAAGGACGTCGCCGAGATCGTCCTGATCCCTGGTATTAGCCACGGCTTCACGCAATTTCCAAATTTGTACCCGCCTGCGTGGAAGCTGATCGATCGCTGCGCGCGATGGGCAGTGGACGTTCTCGATACGGCAGAGACACGCATGAAACGTGAACAGCAGAGCTTGTCACAGCGTCATCACGCGCGTGCTGAGTCTAGCGGCGACGAGGACCGGCCACTCGAGATAAATATGACAAAAATGCGGTCGCGTGCTATCAGCGATAGTGCCAAGGTGAAGCCAAACAGCGCTGAACCGGCAGGAGAGGATGTCAACGCTGAAAAGCCGAACGGAAACACGAAGAAGAGGAGATCTAGTGGGCGGTCCGGATTTGGGCAGAAATCTAAGAGCTTCATTAAACTAGATAGTTCAGAAGATCTACTCGGACGACGTATGCAGGGCCTCGCCAGTTCTCTAACCGCAGGACACGATGAAGATTAACGTACCCGGTGGGTGGTTAAGTTGAGAGAATATTGGTACCGTTTCCACTTGGTCACGACCAGAGGCATAAACCACGATGTATCAAGTTCTCCTTAGTTCCACGTTGAGATATGCGAAGAGCCTGATCGATATATTTCATGAGTTCGGCATCTGCCTAGGTTCCCATCGCCCCGGAACAAAACAAGATACCTGGCCGATTACAGAAATAATTCAGCCTCGTATTTTTCAGCACCTAAAGGAGCCCCCCGAAGAGGGAAATTCTGTTAGTTCTCTCACGTGCAAAGGTTGAAAATGGCTTCCATGCCACTTATCCGAATCCACAGTTCATATATGAAGAGCTTTGGATCATTCAAGTATAGCATATATTGCGTCAGGTTAGATACCTTTAAAGTGGTCGCCACCACACGCTATCAAAGCAATAACAAACCTTTTGAATATAGATTAAGTAGCCTTATGGTTATAGAGAATTATGGGGACATAATCTACCTATTATCGTTAGTATTTCGTAAAGATTATTATAATGATATTAAGACGAAAAAGCTAGCATCGTCGAATATGATGTTAGGGAACCAGAGCGTCGTCGAAACATACTGAGTAATCCACCGTATACTATCGTCAGGTAGCCTCACGGCTGGGTACCGTGGCAATTATCTTAGCATCATGGTTTAAGCTGCCTTTTCTTGAACCTAGAATGTAAATAGGAGACTAGGATGATAGTCAACTAGGTCAAGTACATTAAACTGAAATAATTCCCCCTTATAGTGAGCCATCGCCGGTCTTTTACTCCGTTTACCGCTCAGTATCTCCCGCTTCCGAGGAAACTAATTACCATAGCCACCTTATACCAATAGTAGCGCTTATAGATAAAATACCTAAGGCATCGGGTACGGTATTTGGAGAAGTAGAAAGGTTATAGGTAACTACCTAAAATGGTCTTACTATAGCAAGTACATAACGGAAATTATGGCCACACCCTCTTTCAACCACCCTCCCTTGAGCTATGTATTCCTAGCCTGCATATGGATTTAATCACTCAAGTTTAGGATGTATTAGAGTATCTTATACCATCCTTTATTTATTAGTGTGTTGAAATGGTTGCTATGAGATATTAAGATGCCGCGATTTGGTCCGTCTAGCTTTAGTGCATCAGACCGCCTTACCTATGTATCTCGTGCCATTAGAAGATTTTGTCTCGAGTTATTGATATCTATGAGAGCATAACCACGGGGTTTATACCAAATGGGTTCATACCGGTAAAGAATCGTAGGACGAGCGAGCAGAATGTTTTTAGGTATAAAAGCCGAAAGCTGGCGTGTTGCTATAGAATCTGCCAACTGCCCCGGACGAATATATTACCGGGCCTGAAAACCAATTTCTAATTCTAAGAAATGTAGGATGGACATCTACTTATTTGGCTACCTGAAAGTCATATGGTAGACTGTAGCCTCATAAGATTACAGTCTCATAAGATCTACAACCGGTATGCCCCTTTTGACATGATGATACCACATGTCAGCTACTTGTTGTAGTCGCTTGAACTTCTACAACTGGCGTTCGAAACCTTCGGCAGAGCATTACCCGAGGGTGCAATACCCGACTTAATAAGGCATGACGGTATAATAGTCGCCGTATCAAAAGTCATGACCTAGTTACGAATAGTTCTACCTGATTTAGGTACACTTCAAGTATAGGCGGTAACATTGAATTTCCAACAGGATTGAGGCTGTCACGGTGACACTCGGAACATCGAGCTGAACATCCTAACTGTTGGGCTACCGGGGCACAGCGCAATAAAGTACCCTTGCTGTTTCACGATCCCGCGTCTTGCAGGAGGACGTGCAGTATAGAACTCCTTCTCCGTTGCATTTACCAATGAGAGACTCTTCGAAGGAATTCCGTTACCTACCCCTCTGCTTCGTCCCACCCAGTCGCCTAAAGCGATCGATACCGACGTGCATTAACGGATCAAGCCCTCATAGCCGACAACGGCTTTTGCGGTGTGTGTATAGCGTCAGTATAGGGACGCTATAGCGGACGGAATCGGCCAGAGAGGAACGAGTACTTCGGCTCCGGCAGCTTAAAAGTCTAGCTAGTCACTGCACATCCTTCCACACTATCACAAATTACGTATGAAGACGGCCTGGGTTGTATACCGGACGGGTGGGTGGCCGAGTAACCCTTGTTGAAGTAATTCGAATAGAGCTGAGACCGAGGCAACTTGCCCGGAATAGATATTGTGAGATTTTAGTTTTCTGCGAACGCTGCCAAGCCCTGCTTCTGTGTGGATAGCACGTGGAAAAACGTCAGACGAGGCTTTAAGTCTGGTACGCATCTAGTAGTATTGTTTATTCAGTTGACCTGGGCTGATACGGGCCAAATCTATCAAGCAACTGCATAGTAGACTCGCGATTATGATTCGCTGACCCGGACCCTTGACAACTTGGAACCTGACGAGGCCTCTCTCTACCTTGCCTGTAAGTACATACAAGCGGTACCACGGCGTTCACAAAGGAGGCCGAGGCCGCGGACAGCCAAGGGAGTGCATTAGTTCCTCAACGCGCCCGCGAATTATGTTTAGGACGTTGCCGTATACACGTAGGTATTATGCATGTGGGACTAGGGGAATCAAGCCTATTGTAACGCTGAGTATCTGCTACAATCCGTCGAATTAAGTTGCCTGCCCCCCGAACCGAAGCACGGCTATGAGGTATTAGCAACATTTCGCTTCTGACAGCCTTTCGATCCGAGCTCTTCCGGCCTAATGGATTCGCCCTAGGTTCGAGATGAGAGATGATGATGCTGGCTCTTGGGGGGCTGCCCATGTCATAGGCTGACCCCCTTAGGTCGTACGCATTCCAGAAAAGGGGGCAGAAAGGAAAAGTCTCAGTAGCGACGGTAAATAAAGTCTTGAATTGTTCTCATGTATTCGGGTACACCTTGGAAAGACTTGGATTTAGATAGAGTCGAAAATAATAGACCAAAATCGCATACTAAACCAAAAAAACCTAACACATGTCTACTAACACCTTGTCGAAAAATGGGTATTACCGTAGTGATGCAAAGAATGGTATATAAATACAGTCGTACAAATGCGTCACCGAACTTTTCAAGAGTACTCTCGTCTGAAAGGATAAACGGAGTATTCGTTCGTTCGTTCGTTCGTCAAATTCGTAGTCTCGTCGGGTATCGTCCGGCGGGTATTCTCCTCCGCGTTCTAGTGAAATCTTTTTTTTTTTCCTGCGAGAACGAGCTGGGACTTCCTTGGCTGCTATTAGATTATGTTCGCAATGCTGATCCTCTCCGTGCTACGGCTTCCCGACGCCGCTCCAGCAGTTGGGCTATTTCTACTGCTGCCGATTTCAACCGTGCCGCTCCCAAGTATATTCCCTGGTATGTTCGCTCCTTGTTCCACTTTGATCGGCGGAAGCGTTTGCGCTCGAGGCGCATAAGCCGTAGCTGGGCTCGCTGCCCCGGATGCTAGACCTCTAGTAAGTTCTATTAGGCTATCCCATCCCCCCCAGTCCTCCCTCTCGCTTGCGTTTAGGCCCGTTCGATTGTCCGGATGTGCTAGGCCACCTCCAGTAGTCGACGGAGGCATTGTCAATGGTACCTCGCGCTCCGCCCCGAACCAGACCCAGGCTGTTTCGGTGCTAGCTTGCATATCTGCACTCACGTATGTCAGGAGTTCCTCGTCTTTCAACAACGCATCTTGGACGGCTCTAAGATCGGGTAGAGCCACCTGCGGAGTGTAGCTAGGCGTAGCCGAACGTGGGAGGACAGCTAATAATTCACGTTGCTTGGCTTCTAGGATCTGCAGGAAGAATGATAAGAAGCGTCCGCAAGGAATGGTAACGTCTCGTCGCGCATCAATCGACTTGAGAGCTCTTAGACACGTGTATGCCAACTCGTAGTAGCCTGTGAGGAGTAGAAACAACGCAGAGCGGAATATGTGGGTTACTAGAAGGCTCGTAGCGGTATCTGCGAGAGTCGAGTTGATCCTGGCAATCAGGTTCGCCGTCTCTATCGCTGTCATCTTGCATTGCTGAATTGCGTCGCTTCGAGCTTCTATAGGGCAGCCCGGGGCAAGGTTGTGACGATGTAGAAGCAACCGAATACTAAGGAGGTACGCGAGGGGCATTAGTACGTGAGGAGCAACTAAAGAGGTATTATTTGCTTCGCATGATTCTGGAAACATCTTCTGGCAAGCGATAAAGTGGCTGTCAAACGTCGCTAGTCGCGGCGGCTCGATCACGGCGCTGGAGAAGGCTTCTCTTACGGCGGAGAAAGATCGTACCACATTGATTATGCCGTGTAGAAAGTGAGTTAGGGGTATGGCGTTTGGGGGATGCACGGGACCCTCAGTATGGAGGAAATGATCGTCGAACGGCTCGGGTAGGGCTACGTCGCAGTCGGCATCGTCGATCATGAAGGGGCGTCCAAGATCCATAGATAGCGTTCGATCGAGAGCGTATATTGCCCACCAAACCCGTCGCCTCATATCTGCCTCGACTCTAGAACGTACCCCGACCACTTCCAGGTGGAGGTCGAGGTCTTGCGCACTTCGTACGGCGCCGCCCAACCAAGTCCAAGCTGCCGACTTCAAATTCAGCTCGTTCAAGGCGAGCGAGACGAGAAACGACGTTCGGACGTTGTCCAGATCAAAGTTATCGTTCCAGGGATCTACCAAGCTTCGCGACGCCTCTAGAAGCTCGCTGGCATGTAGCGTCCTGTCCGGATACGGCTCGTTACTAAATAGGCTCCCTACAGCCAAAACCGCGAAGAACATAGAATGCCAAGAGACGGGAACCCGCTGTATATTAGTAGTGTTTTGGTATAGCTCCTCTACCTGATGCTGCAACGTCGGCCAATGAAGTATCGGCATCATGATGTGTGCCGCCCCATAGTACGTATGGAGAAGCTTGTCTACGGTAGCTCTAGGGGGTAACGGTGGTCTGGGAAGGTCGAACGCGACAACAGCCGTCGGTGGTTGTCGATACGCTGGTGGCGGCTTCAAGACGCCCCTCGAGAAGTTCCGGAAAGCCACCCTCGCTCGTGAGGGATCCTGAAGCGGAGGAGCCGCTCTTCTCCGCCTCCTAGGCTCGGAGTTTAAGTCCGGGAGAAACTGCTGCGATAGTTGCTCGGCACTTTCTGCGTCGACATCCATGTGCTCGCCCCGTTCGGCCAGCGTGCGCCTTAAATTACTATTCTCCCTCCGCACCCTCTCTATCTGCTTCTCGAGGTCTTGCACTTGTTTGATAGATGACATGCGCCGATTGGTCTCCTTGGTAAATTGGCATTTGACATTGCGGCTCGAGCATTCCGAGCAACTCGTCGTCTCTGTAGCGTCACACTTAACCTTTCTTTCCCGACAGGCATCGCAGCTTTACACGTGTACGGAACGCTGAGAAGCGAATATTGGGTTTTCTTACGCTTAAGGCGGTTAAAGAAAAACCAATACCCGCCCTCTCGAAGTTCCGTACGGAGAAGTCAGCATCAAATCTATTTTCCACGAAAAGGGGTGCCTAGCAATTATGTCGAACTCTCTCGTTTACGAGACTAGAACAAACACTAGAACAAACATAAAAATAAATAAAAAGAACGCTGCTACCGAACACATACCTCGGATCTTTCCTCCTTTGGCGGTAGGCGCGCTTCTGGGCCG